GGCGTTGTCCTCGAAGATGTATGCGACTTCTCTCCTGATCCCACCATGGCCAGCTCCTCGAGGTACGACGGGAGCTCGGGATGTGGGGGCTCGTACTGGCCAGGTAAGAGCCGGAGTAGGTATGCCTCGAGTTGCTCTCTCTGGTACTTGTCCTCTTGCTCCGCCATGACTTGGTCGCGCTCGGACGTGGCCGCATCCGTAATGAGGTCATCCGTCATGTCGACCAGAAGATCCTCATCCACCCGTCCTCCTGCGCCCCAGGCATCCCGTAGAGCATTCTGGAGTCCTGCAGTATGCCGTTCATGCTCGGGTTGGAGATCCTGCAGTTGCTGCTGCCTGTGCATGTCGTTCATGTGCTGGATGTGGGCGTGGTGCCGCATCGCGGCCTGTATCTCCTGGTGGTGCTCGTGCTGCAGGGTGCTGTGGTACTGCTGAGTCGCTTGGCTCTCCAACCTCTGCTGGTGCTGTATTGCCTGAAGCTCGCTCGTGGCTGCTGCTTGGCGCTGGAGCGCAGCCTCCTCCATCTTTTTGGCTTTGTCCTCCGCCTCCTGGTGCTCCCCGATGCGCTCCAAGTACTTTTCCTGCTCGTACTGCATCTCGTGGGCCTTCGCCTGGATGGCCGAGTGCTCCAGATTCAGGACGACCCGCATCGCTTCGCGCTCGTTGGCTTCTTCCTGGTGCTCGTAGGCCAAATGTTGGTAGGCCACTGCGATCTGCAACTCCTCTTCCTTGTGAGCGATGCGCCGGGCGCATCGTTCCTGATACTCCGCCTCCGCCATCTCCTGCAACGCTTTTTCATTATGCTCCTGCGATATCCTGTGCCACTGGGCCTCTTGAGCCGCCATCTGTCGCACCGCTTGCTCCTCCTGTCTGGCCTTCTCGACCTGCTGCGTGTAGATGGCAGCTCTTTTCTGGTCCTCCTTGTGCATCTCCTCGTGTAACCTTTTCTTCTCCAGTTCGAGATGTCTTTGCAGGTCCGCGAGCATCCCTTTGGCCCTCTCCTCCTGCGTCCTCTGGCTTCCTCTCTGTGCCTCATATGCTTTCGCTTCCTCCTCCACTAACTTGGCGTTGTGATGCTTCTTGAGCGCGTTGACCTCCCATGTGTGCCACTCCTCCTGCTTGGCCAGCTGTGCTTCTGTCTCATGCATCATCTTTTTCGTCATGTTCTGCTCGCAGGCCTTCATCTCGCTCTTGTGTTTCAGCTCCGCCTGCTCCAGCAAGTTTCTTTGCTGCTGTTCCCTTCTCTGCTGCAAGTCCAGCCTCTCGGTTAGCTTCCTGATGGCATCCTTGATATCGTCCTTGTTGTCGGCGCTAGTTCTTCCTGCCCATGCTCTATCTTGCACTCCGGGACTTTGCTCTTCTCCGCCTTTGCCACCAGGCCTTCGTGTTTCATGCCGTGCTGAGGCTGGTGTATCTGGTGCTGCGGCTGCTTCGCGCGTCCTCCTCGCAGCTGGATGTGGCGCGCGTCCTCTGGCGCGGTCCTCGCACCTGTCATCCTCAGAAGATTCATCCTTCACACCCGCTGCCTTGGCCATCCGGTCTCTGGTTTCCCTCAAAAGGGTCTTGTAAACCTTGATGGTTCTGGCGGCCATGGCCTCTTGGTCGAGCATCATGTTGAGCCTCATCTCCATCTCGGCGCGCTCCTTCTCAAGCTTTTCCAGCGTGGCCCTGAGCTGCTTCATGCGCTCCTTGTGCGGCAGGACGAAGGAAATGTTCGCGGCGGTGATCGCTGCTTCCTCCTCGAGGCTCGACGTGCACAAGCCCGCCAGCCTGGCGCCGGCAATGTTCTCGGCGAGGCGGCCCAGTCTATGGCACTTCGTCTTGTACCATGCGTGTCGCATCTCCCCGCCATCAGGCGGTGCTGACCAGCTCTCGCGCTCCATCGCCACGGCGAAGGGGGCAGGCGTGATGCTGTCCAAGACCACCTTCTGCTGCATGGTGTACTGGAAGTTGCCGATGTGCGTAGCAGCTAAGTCCTGCTGGTCCTTCTTTTTGCGCCTGCTGCTCCTCCTTCTGGCTGAGGTGCTCCTCCACGGCACTCTGTCCTTCCAGTGCTGATGCTGTGAATGCTTCTTCTGGTGCTGGTACTGGGCTGGCTGCTGCTGGTGCTTGTGGGGGCGTGGCTGCTGCTGCTGCTGCTGGCTGCGCTGCCTCCTCTGTGCGCTGCGCTGCTGGCATCCGTCGTGCTGACGCTGATGGCGCTGGCTGTCATCGCGGGCCCACTCCCAGGGTCGCCCTCCCATGGCACCGATATCTCCTGACCAGTCTCTGGCGCTGTTGCTGCGCCTGCGCTGGTGTTGCTGCTGCGCCTTCGTCGTCATCTCGCTGCTGCTGCGGCTGCGCTGGGGCTGCTGCTGGCGCTGGGGCTGCTGCGCTGAGTGGTGGCTGTCGAGGACGTTGGCCGCCTCCACCACGCGCAGCAGGGCCCTCGCCGAAGAGCGGCGCGCCCTCTCCCGCCTGTGCCAGGCGGGTTCCTGAGGCGTCTGGCCTCACGTGGCGCGCCAGCAGGCGCGCAGCCAGGCGCAGGGTCGCGGCTGCGGCGTCGGCCATCGCCGACCCGCCGCGGCGCGCGAGCCCGGCCCCGCGGGCGGCCGATCACGATTGGCGTGAGTCGATCGGCGCGATCGAACGATCAGGCCGAACGGAAGATCGTTCACGGCACAGGCCCGCCAGAGGCCAAATGGGCTTTAGGTTTCCACTCCGCCATGGCCCTGCGGCCGCGCGTTGTTCCGCGCCGCTTCCCAGCGCGCGGAACCGTTGCGGCGGGGCGGCCGCGGCGGCGTAGAAGCCCACCCCGTGCGTGTGCTTCTCTCCGAGAAGCTCGCGAGCGGGGAACCGCCCGGCCTCGCCGATCCTTCGGGGGGGGTCATAATGTGCCAAGATTGTCCGAAGATCCAGCCCGAAGATTCCATCTTGTCCAACCCCAAGATTCAATCCGAAGTGGCTCATGGACACTGCAAGGTTTCATCAATGAGCCGAGGATTGCCCACCCCAGGTGAGCGAATGCACTACTGAAGCGAGCGCGACGAGAGACCTCACTGGTTGGGCTGCACAACCCGAAGATGACACCACCCTTTTGCCTGAAAGCGTGACGCCAATCATACGACGAAATTCTCAGTATATCGTCCCCGCCGCTGTCCCACTGTTTGCGCTGTTCCCGACATTGCCCCCGCTGCCCTCCCCGGCGCCCCCGCCCCCGGTTTTCGAACGGAGGGGGGGCGTCGAACTGGCAGCGGCCACCCCGCCCTTTTCATAATGGACTGGGGGGGGGGAGGGAGGGGGGTTCGAGCCGGCAGTGGCCCCGCTCGGTTTTCCGGAGGAGAGAAAGGGGGGGGTCGCACCGGCAATGGCCCCCTCGGTTTTCCGCCAGCAACGCTGCTTTTCCTACCTCTGGAACTCCACATTTAGGCCGCCGAGCACGGAGCGGTTGCGGGCCCAGCCGCGCCCGCCCAAGCGGGGCCGACGACGACGACGGAGGACGACTGCCGAAAGGGGAAAGCGGCGGGGTAGTTTTTCTCCGAAAACAGATTTATAACCGCCGGGCGCAGGACCGGCGCCCCTAGCCGAGCGAAGCCGCGTCGGCCAGGAGGGCCGTCGCCACGGGGAGCCTCTCCGACCAGCCCCAACTTGGGGCGCCGCTGCCCTCGCCCCTGCCGCTCCTTGGGCGCCCGTCGCATCGGCGATCTCTCGGGCGGAGCGCCGAATCCGACGGGCCACCGAGGGGGGTTTGGACCGCGGCCCCCCTGGTTGCGGCTGGTCTGCCTCTGCTGCGGGCTCTCCTCCAGCCGCAGCAAGCCGCGCGCCGCGTGGCTCACGATCGTCGTGGCCTTCACCCCGGAGAGGGTCACGACGAGGCTGGGCAGCTGGCCTGGGCCCTTGTCGACTACGCGTAGAGAGTGGCCCCGGGCTAGAAAAACCTTTAGCGCGCGACTCGACGATTCGAACCGGACCTCCTCTGACCTCATCCCTCCTACCCCTCCCTCGCCCGCCTTTCGATGGTTCAGAGATGGGGTCCTGAGGGATGGGTGCCCAAGGAGAGGAAGAGATTCGAGACTGGATTTGCGTAAATTGAGGCACCTCGACCTTAGGACCCCATCGCTCAGTACGCCGCCGACGAGGCTGGCTTCCTCCTCCCATTCCTCCTCCTCCTCCTCCCCCTCCTCCTCCTCCTCCTCCCCCTCCTCCTCCTCCTCCTCCTCTCCTCCTCCTCCTCCTCCTCCTCCCCTCCCCCTCCTCCTCCTCCTCCTCCTCCTCCTCCTCCTCCTCCTCCTCCTCCTCCTCCTCCTGCCTCCTCCTCCTCCTCCTCCTCCTCCTCCTCCTCCTCCTCCTCCTCCTCCTCCTCCTCCTCCTCCTCCTCCTCCTCCTCCTCCTCCTCCTTCCTCCTCCTCCTCCTCCTCCTCCTCCTCCTCCTCCTCCCTCCTCTCTCCTCCTCCTCCTCCTCCTCCTCCTCCTCCTCCTCCTCCTCCTTCCTCCTCATCCTCCTCCTCCTCCTCCTCCTCCTCCTCCCTCCTCCTCCTCCTCCTCCTCCTCCTCCTCCTCCTCCTCTCCTCCTCCTCCTCCTCCTCTCCTCCTCCCATCCCCCCCCGCCCCCTCCTCCTCCTTCCTCCTCCTCCTCCTCCTCCTCCTCCTTCCTCCTCACTCATCCTCCTCCTCCTCCTCCATACTCCTCCTCCTCCTCCTCCTCCCCCTCCTCTCTCCTCCTCCCCCTCCTCCTCCTCCTCTCCTCCTCCCTCCTCCTCCTCCTCCTCCTCCTCCTCTCTCTCCTCCTCCTCCTCCTTCCTCCTCCTCCTCCTCCTCCTCCTCCTCCCTCCTCCTCTCCTTCCTCCTCCTCCCTCCTCCCCCCTCCCTACTCCTCCTCCTCCTCTCTCCTCCTCCTCCTCCTCCTCCTCCTCCTCCTCCCCTCCTCTTCCTCTCCTCCTCCTCCTCCTCTCCTCCTCTCCTCCTTCTCCTCCCCTCCTCCTCCTCCTCCTCCTCCTCCTCCTCCTCCTCCTCCTCGTCGCCCGACGCCGCCAGGGCGCCCTGCGCGGCAGCCGGCGCCGGCAGGCCGAGCTCCACGGCCTGGCGACCAGGCACTCAGTATGGCACAATAAGCGGGGGGGGGCGACTAACATGCCGACGGAGCGTCCCCCCCCCCTCCCTCCACAGCCCTTCCACGCGCGTCAATTTCTCACCCCCCACCACCTGGCCCAGGAAACGCGGGCCTCAGAACTGCCCCCCCCCTCCCCCCAATCCTTTGGACGCCCGCCGAAATGGGCACGGAAAGAATGGGTACAATGCCCAACAACAAATGTTGTCCCAAACCAACAGCGGCCGCTGTTGGGCAGGCAGCCTTCTGTCTCGAATGGGCACAGGCCGCGGCGGCGTGGATAGCGAATCCTGCTCGAGATGAACAGGAACTGCTGTTGGGCATTGTACCCATTCTTTCCGTGCCCATTTCGGGCGTCCAGAAATCCCCCCCCCGACGGCACGCACCTGTCCTCCCCTCGATCCCAGACAAGGGGAGGGGGGGGGGGACGACTGCTACGCCATCCGGAGTGGGCCCCCGCCCATGGAGGGGCCGTGGCGAAGGCGGGCGGCCCGGAGGGGAGGGAGGGGGCCCGCGGCCCCCCCTCTCGGGTCGGCGGCGCGCACTGGAGGGGCCCTCGGCTCGGGTCGGGCACGTCCTGCTATACTTACCAGCCTCGAACGTATCCCTATCCCTAAGATTGACACGCCAAACGGCGATGACAATCTTAGGGATGCGCCCTCAGAAAATAAGGGAATCCCTAAGATTGGCATCGTGATGAGGAGGTGCCCAGCATAGGGATAGGGATATGTTCCAGGCTGGTAATATACGCGGATTTTGGATGAAACACTGAACACGGTCAGCAAATACTTAAACATAAGCGTCTACGTATACACACATGTGTATATATATACATGTATAAACATGTATATACATATATATATATATATGTATATATACAGTCGTCCCGAGACTACTTTTTAACCGTTCTTGACTGTTCCACCTGTAGGGGGACATGCCCGACCAAACCCCAGTCGAGAGTGACCACTCGTGCGCGGATCAAGGGGGGGCGCACGGTGGCCACATCCAAACGCGCAGGCGGCCGCCATCGCATCGCGCTCAGCGATCGGGGGGGCTTCGGCGAGCCCGCACCGGAGGTCACTCCAGCGAAGGGCCACCCTGACGTGTGGTCGATCGGGTCATAACAGAAAACACGGGTCGGAGGTGTTTCGCTGCTCTCGCCCTCCGGGGGCCCTCATGCTGGGCCTGGGACCGTCAACAGCAACGGCTCAGGACGAGAAGCTGGCCCTGACCAAGGGGTCGAGGCTTCTGCGGGGTTGACGGTACGAGGAAAACGAATCATGACGTCGGGAGTCTGGGCAAGGACGGAGGCCCCGAAGACGAGGCCAGGACGAGGACAAACCGGGATGACGATCAGCCCACAATCTCTTGGATCCCGAGGCTCTGGAGGGCGTACCCGGCGCCGCGGCCTTCCCGAAACGTTCCGAAACGCTCAGAAGCGTCCTGGAAATATCTGGAACGGAGTTGCACCCGTGCTGGCCCCGCTCGAACCCCGACACCCCTGCGGTGAAAGGCAACGAGGGGGGGAGGGGTGCTGGCTCAGGGGTGGGGGAATCGACGTGGCATCGGCGATGCACTGCCGATGCATCGGCGGCAGGTGAGCCCCCGATAGCGAGCCTGCGTGCTCCTGGGCCGGTTGGGGCTGTCGGGCCCACCTCAGCGATCGGAGGAGGAGGAGGAGGAGGAGGAGGAGGAGGAGGAGGGGGAGGAGGAGGAGGAGGAGGAGGGGGAGGAGGGAGGGAGGGAGGGAGGGGTGGGAGGGAGCTCTCTGGACCTCCTGCGCCCCTCGGTACCGCGCGCGAGCGAGCCGGAGACACCTCCGCCCGCCGTGCGGCCGCGAGAGCGGGCGAGCCAGACCGCCGCTATAGCGCGCTCGCGGTCGCAGCGCGGAGCCCCGGAGGACTCGAAGCTCACGAGGGAAATCCTGGGCGTGGCTTAATGGGGGGGTCACAAATGGGGGGGTCAGAAAAGGTTCCATTTCGTGCCCCTTTCGGGCCCCTCCAGAGCCCCAGGGGGCTCGTTTAGGTACCGTTTGGGTACCTTTTCGGACCACACTCGCCACCCCCCCATTTATGATCCCCCATTACGCAGCGCCCAAAAATCCCGGAGGCCTCGCGCGCCGGAGGGTCGAACGAGCCGATACCCCCGCGCTGCACGGAGGGCGAGCCTGTTTCGCACCGGGCGCCTCGTGCCCGGTCTCGGGGCCCAGGGCCACCGCGCGTCGATCCGACGCGAAAAAGACGCAACAGACAACTGGGGTCGGGGATTCTGGTTCTGATTTCTCGCGCTGCTGTACGTTTGCGGGACGGGAACATGACCACAGCCACTGCTTCTTGTTTGCGCCGCCTTCCAGCCGGCCGAAAAAGAGGCAGTGGTTGTGGTCATCTCCCTGGCGCCACGCTCAACGAAAATGACCACAACCACTGCTTTGTTTCTGCGGGCTGGAAGGCGGCAACAAAAGAAAAGCAGTGGCTGTGGTCGTTTTCACGCCCCGTAATGTTGTTCGCAACGTCGAACCTCATGGTTCCACCGGTTCTGTACAAGGAACAACGGGAAGGCTTTAGCAAAATCGGCCCCCCCGAGGCCTTCACCAAGCCCTTGGGTCGTCAACGGAGCAACTCGCGACGCGAAAAAGGTTCTGGGGAGGGGATGCAAGCCTTCCAAAGTCCGATGCCAGGAATTTTGGGAGGGGGTGGGGGGCAGAAAACTAGAAGTACAAGCGTATGGTCAGAAATTCTGTTTACGATGAGCTGTATAACACGGTTAACGCACATACCGGGAACAGCACGGACACGCAAACTTGGCCAATTTCCGTGCCCCCGAGCAAAACAGGCAGCTGTGAGGGAGACGATTTAAAACAAAACCAATGATTAGTGCATTGGAATGACGCGCCGTTCGCGTATGGTGCTCAAGCGAGTCTGCCTGTGCGTCGTCGGTCCGAGTAAGCAAACCACACCCGAGCCAACGAAACAAAAGTGCACTAAAATGAGAGGTGGCATGAGAAGTTGCGCGAGTGAGGGGAGCTGGGCAAAGAGGGCCGTCTACTGACGAGGGCCCTAATAAAACAAAAAAAAAAATAAAAAACACTTGCCGAGCAACAGGACGCTCGAATGGAGCACGCGGCCGTTCACTCGAATGCTCTGTTGTCCGAAACCTGCTGTCCCACGAACGCAATTCGTGGAAGCAACCCTCTCACTAGCATGATTCGTTCTTCGTGTGTATATATATATATATATACACACGTAGCACCCCGCATATGCGGATAAGAGTGAGGGGGCGGTGGGGACGTCGGCAACTTGCGAGACTCTGGAGAAGCCCGCCGCAGGCGCCAACATTGCACACATTATACAACGAACCCGCCGCACGGGGCGACTTTTCTTCAAACCCAAATGGATCGGTCGCGGGTGGGTCGCGGGGTGGGTCGCGGGTGGGTCGCGGGGTGGGTCGCGGGGTGGGTCGCGGGGTGGGTCGCGGGGTGGGTCGCGGGATGGGTCGCGGGGTGGGTCGCGGGGTGGGTCGCGGGGTGGGGTCGCGAGGTGGGTCGCGGGGTGGGTCGCGGGGTGGGTCGCGGGGTGGGTCGCGGGTGGGTTGCGGGGGGGACGACGACGACGACGACGACGACGACGACGACGACGACGACGACGACGACGACGACGACAACAACAATCATTCTAAGACTGTCCGCTCCTACTTGCCCGTGTTCATTTCAAAACGAGTACCTCACACCCTCGATACCCGCCCTTTTTGTCTTCGATCACACCCCCTTTGGGGGGATTCGGTCTCTTTGCGGGGGGCGGCGGGCTTAGACAAGCGGGCAAACCTGAGCGGGCGCACGATCCTTCGTGGGCGTACATGCGCCCGCCATAACCAGGGAGAGTGGGGGGAAGGGAAGGGGAGGGACGAAGGAAGAGGGACAACGCCAGGAGAGAAGGTGCGAAGAGGGGTGCGAATGGTTAGACATAGGAAAACAGACACACAGAGAGAAACAGAAAAAGAGACAGACAGAGAGAGAGAGAGAAACAAAGAGAGAGAGAGAGAGAGAGAAAGAGAGAGAGAGAGACAGAGACAGACAAGAGAGGTAGAAAGAGAGAGAGAGGGGAGAAAGAGAGAGAGAGAGAGGAACAAATAGGGAGAGAGAAGGCAGGAGAGGGGAGAGAGAAGGGAGGAGGGAGAGGAGGGAGAGGGGATAGGGCAGAGAGGCATAAGGATGAGGGAAGAGAGGAGGGAGAGAGAAGGGAGGATAGGAGGAAGGAGGGAGGAGGAAGAGAGAACAGGAGCAGGAAGGTAAGAGCGTGAACGTTCGAGGGGGTCCTAGGCGAAAGCGCCGTTCCTGAAAAAAGTCTCGGGCGGGAAACCACGACGGGAAGGCGATCCCATGACGGGCGGGTCGGGCGGGTGGGACATTCAAGCGGGATGCCTGAGTATGGCGAGAGCGCGATTACTGAATAAATTGTACCGGCGTCCTTGGCGCAGCGTGTTCCCTGAGCGTCGAAAGCGCGATTTCTGAATACATTGCATGGGAGTCACAAGCGAGAGCGCAATTTTTGTATTAAATGTGAAGTCTGGCGGGAGCGGGGGCCTTGACTAAATTGCGAGGAAATCTTGACTCAACTGCGAGGAAGTCTCCAGCGGAAGCGCCGTCCCTGAGTAAATTGTGAAGAAGTGTCAGAGGGGGGCGGGGGTCCTGACTCAATTGCGAGGAAATCACAGGCGGGAACACCGATACTGAGAAAATCGTGAAGAAGTCTCAGGAGCGGGGGTCCTGAGTAAATTTGGAGGAAGTCTCCGGCGGGAGCCGTTGTTATTGCAATCTGGGGGGCCAGGGGGCCAGTTTGAGAAGGTTGGCTTTCCCTGTCCAAAAACAAGGTGCGAGCGTCGAGGGGCGCACTTTGATTAAGGAAAACAGCATGCACCGGTGATGGGGGGATCAGCAATAATTGTTCTTCACAAGTGAGAATTCAACAACAACAAC